AAAGAGGGTGACAACGTGACGGGAGAATAATGTATGTGTGTGTGTATATAGTGAGTAATTGAACTGCAGTCAGAAGTATTATTGACGTTCGTTGATATAGCATTTGTTTTAGCGCGATTGTTGAAAATAAGTATATCGTAAAGTTGTATTCGGGAAGAATAAACCAGTTTTATTAAGTAAGGAAAGTTAATTAATAAACGGAGACATAACAATATTGTTACGCCTCCAGTCGTTAGTTGATTTTCCGTAACTTCGTTTCGACGAAACTTTAGCGACACAAGTCCTTACTTATTAAAATTGGTTAATTCTTTCCGAATACAACTTTACCGATACACTTATTTTCAACAGTCGCGCTATAACAACGAACGTGCTCAACTTCAACAATACTATCTGACTGCAGTTCAATTACTGACTACCTACACACATATTATCCCGTTACGTTGTGAGGTCTTATATATATATACCAGACAAACATAGTAAATGCTAGAGCACTCCCGAAGGAACGGGATAGTTCTAGAAAGCAGGTGGCGTGACACTAGTCACGTGACCTCCTTGACGCAACAATATCCACAGGGCATAGAATGATAATGGAAGAAAGGCAGCCACAACAAAGTCAACTTTATGACTTTTTGGACCTCGTGTTATGCAAATACTTAGAATATACGAAAAATTTTAAACATTTATACATTAAAATTAGAAGGTAGAAAAAGCATGGCAAGTGTACATACCCCGTAGCGGACCTACTTAATTTACTTTTTTTCGGGACATCCGTATGCCTGAAATATCACAATATTACTTAGTGCTTATGGGAATAGACACATCTTGCCAGACATGTTTGTGTAGCTAGAGGTCGCGTGAGCGCTTACTGTATAACAACATATCAGAGATTTTGAAGGGAATAGAAGTTAATTTAATGGACGGTAAAATAACGAACTAATGGTACAGAAAGGGGTATGCTAATATTAGCTGAAATATTCGTGAAAAGCACAATTGTTGATATATTTTACTTTTTTCTTTTCTTTTTGCTGAAGAAGTCTCGTTTGTAAAGTACTAAGAATATTTTCGGATGAACTATGTGTTTTATTCGAAAAAATGGAAACTGGGTTATATGCATAAACCAAAATAAAAATTATCATATAATACAAACCTCGCTTTTAGTAGTATCACTATCAGCGAAAATATGGAGTGATAATGAAAGAAACTGAGTTTTATTTCAGCATCGGTTGGTTGCAGTTAGCGTTCGTGATATCTGCGCACTAATGTAACTTCATGTCATAACTTGTACCCGTTTGGATCGCCATGTCATTATACTGTAAGGTTACTATTTTGATTTTGTAGCCTTTTAATTTTTTATCTTTACAGATTGGAGTAAGTGTGAGTGTGATACCTTGTCATTTTTGGTACTTGGAAAATGATGAAAAAGTGTTTTTGATGGTGTCAACCAACATAAAATGAGCAAAATCGAAGAAGCAATTTTGTAAGTAAATTATAGTGTTAATCCGATAAATTCTATTACTTGCGAGTAGATATGAGGCATGTATTTTATTATAATTTATATAAACTACCTTCTTAGTGTTTGCACTAGCAGTAGCAATTTAGCTGGCAAAGACTTATTCTGAAGACTCCTTTGCTTATTCGGAACTTCGCCGGGTAGACTGGCTTAGGTAGATTTTAAACCTTTTATTTATTGTTATTATTTTTTACTTTAAAATGAGTTATTTTTTTACTGTGCCATAGTTGTGCACATTATGTTTAAAGTTATGGTTAGCTTAGTAATGTCTGGTTTTTGTTGAAATTTCTGTGAGATTTATTCAGTATTATCCATAGTTAATTAAACTTAATACGTTGTTACTGTTAGTTTTAAAAATCTAAATGAAAAATGTTGATAGTGATGCTTGGAATGTAATACTATTTATATTACTGTACTCACTTGACAGTTTAATCAAGTTAGTTGAGCCTGAAGTGAGGTGAAAAGGAATGTTTTCCATTTATAGTTTTGCATTCCAAGTTCCAGAACCAAGTCAAAGCCTTTGCCAGATGTAAATGGTTGAATAGGAAATTAAAGTTCTGATAAATGAAAGATATTGAGCTTAAGGTTGAATACTTTGAAGTTTATTAGTAGTGAGAGTAAAATGGAATTGGAAATGTTGAACTTTATTGTTTCTAAACACATTTAATTATACTCATGTTTTGAGGATTTGATCTTTAATCTTGATTCAACTTCTGTATAACTACAAATTTCTTAACAGCTACTTTGTGATACTAATCTTACCAAAACCTTGTTTGTTAATAAAATAAGTATGTTGGTTTAAGATATTGAATACTTAATACTAGAAATCAATGACCTTATTACGCCAAAATGTCGTTTTTTATTTAATTAGATACTAAACTTTTCGCTTTACAGCTTATACAGGAGCATTCACTAAAATAAACTGCAACTGACAGTACAAAGCTTCAAATGGTTTAAATAATATATTCTATTCAAATCTATGATATCCAGTTTTACAGCTTGCTTTTAACATATTAAGCAGTAAAGCTTATTGTTGGAAGAAAAGTATTGTTGAAATAATTAACTGCTACCTGTAGTAATAAGCAAAAGTTCTATCAAGATTACAGAGTGAAATAACAAAAAGATAGGATAAAAAATCAAAATAATTAAAATTATAGGTGCCACACTTCCCACCCTTCCTTCCCACTGAACACTGGTACTTCCATTTTCTGCCCAAACTCGAAGTGATAGTTAGGTTGAATTGAATAGGAGTCACATGCATAATGAATGTCACACTCTTATTAGTGGATGGTTGTGGCATGATGATTTGCATGAGAGATGCATTGGAATTAGTAAATTTCAATGGAAGGGACATAAAGGCTTGTGGCATATGTAAAAATAGTTTTGCATATAGAGGGTAGCACTGAACAAAATATAGCTATTTATGTGAGAGGAGGTAAGTACCTTTTGGAAATACATTTTCAGTATAGGAAAATTATTTTTGAAATGTGGTTTTGTCATGTACATCTCTCTTTCTGTATATATATTTATATGTATGTATCTATTGTGTATATTTATTTATATTTTTGAACATTTATATATAGTGTGACCTTGCATGTATAGTGAAATAATTTCTAAGTTAACTAATTTTATCATGGAAAACAAGGAGCCATTTGGTCCATGAAGGCTGTCCTTGCAAACCCATGCTGGATAAATCAGTCAAACTATTGAAGTAGTATTCTGTTGCTTGTGATAAAGGTAATAAAAACTTAAGGTAAATTGATAATCATCATGATTACAAATAAAAAGAGGTAGTTATCTTTATAGAAGTCATTAGTTAAGTTTCACTTGGAATACTGTGTACAGTTTTAATTTACTTATCTAAGCATCAGAATTTCTGAACTCTCAAGATAAGTACTTTTAGACAGCTGTTGTTCCATAGTTGTGAATAGTGGTAAGGTACCAGAAGATTGGAAGTTGGCTAATGTTACTTTGTTTATTCAGGGGAGGTGATAAAAAAGTTTCCTGGTAATTATAGGCATATTATTCTTACATCAGTGGCAAAGATTTTTGTAATTCTGATAAAAGATGCTTTGTAAAGTCATTTAACAGAGTTTAAAATGCTGTTGGATAGTCATCATGGTTTTACTAAGGGAAAATATTTCCCTATTAAATTTTTGAAATCTTTTGTAAATGTTATTGCTTATGTAGGTGAAGGATTGGTGTAGATTTGGTATATCTGGATTTTCAGAAAGCATTTTACAAGTTCTACTTAAGAGACTTGTTAAACAAATTATTTTTGTAGGCGTGGAGGATAGATGGCTCATGGATAGAAAACTGATGGAAGGAAGGAGAGAATTATTATAATTTTAGATGGAGTTCAGTTGAACTGGATTAATATCACAAGTGGGGTACCTTGGGGCTCACTGTTAGGTCCTTTGCTCTTTTTGGTTTACATAGATGAAAAAATGGTCAGTAAATTACTTAAATTTGCTGATGATATTAAGGTTTTGGGTGTTGCTGCCTTTGAGGAGGATGCTGCTGCTTTACAAAAATATTGAGTATTTGGTGAGTTTGGCAAATAAATGAGAGATGACTTTTAATTGTAATAAATGCAAGATAATGTATGTCGGATATCATAATTTGAATTATAAGTATGATTTTGATGGGAATAAAGATAGCAGTGTTATTGAACAAAAAATCTTGGTGTTCTGGCTTACCAGACTCTTAAGTCATTCAAATAGTGTACTGTTGCTATTGGTAGGGCAAATAGGATTTTTACATTGTATCTATAGCAATATTGAATACAAGTCTAAATAGGTTATTATGTTATTGTATAGGTCATTGGTTAGACCACATTTAAAGTACTTTATTCAGAGGAGGGCTACTAGGATGATACCTGGGATGGAATGGTTGTTATACAAGGGTAGATTAAGATGAGTTAGAATGCTTTTAGAAACTTTTACAGTAAGATTAGCTGTACATGGTTTGTAGAAAACTAAATCAAGGTCTTTCAAGTATTGTTCAACTGTGAGTGAGAACAGTATAATATCATCAATATAAACATTGGAACATTCAGTTGCTCCTGCTAAAGCCTTATCCATAAGTCTTTGGATGGTGGCAGGTGCATTTTTAAGACCAAAAGGAATTACTTTAGATTGATAAAAGTTTATTATCTGTTACGAAGGCAGTTTTATGTCGATCCCTCATCTCAACAGGTATTTGCCAATATCCACTGGATAAGTCTAATGTACTGATGCAGGTTGCTCCTGACAAAGCATTCAAAATATTACTTATATGAGGCAGTGGATAGTGGTCTGATTCCAAGACTTGATTTAACTTCCTGTAGTCAACACAGAACTTAAAATCATGAGTCTTCTTTTTGACAATAACTAGTGGAGAAGCCTAAGAAGAAGATGAGGGTTCAATTAACCAATCGTGAAGCATTTCATCCATTTGATCATGTGGCACTTATAGTGAGAGAATAACCATAAGATTTACTAAACACTGGATTTTCTGTCGTGTTTACAATACTATTTTCAGACAAATCTGTGAGGCCAAATTTATTGTAAAGAATAGTAGTCTATTTTAACATAAGTTGCTTTAATTGTTCACTGTCTTTCCTCTTTAAATGTGAACATTGTACTAGTTCAGTCAGTATCTTTTCGGTCTCATAGTCGTGCCTAATGGATGGCACACTTGATTCAAGAACATTTGTGAAGAAGTTAAGGGTTGCTTTGTTTTGCTGAATGAAGTCTAATCCAATAAAGTATTGGTCCACAATGCTACTTGTTGCTGATAGTTTTGCTTCAAAATATTTGACAGCTCATCATTCCATCTGCAAGACACATATTACCTTTACTTCAAAATTTTAGTTGAAATGTTGGATCATTTCTGTTGATTTGTTGCTATATATTTTCATTTAGTACTGAATAATCCAATCTAGTATCTATATGACCTACTACTTTCATACCATTAATTTTTAGGATTAGGTGTGGCAGATCCATTTTAGTTGTTGTTAAATAGTTAATGGAGTGTTTTACTTTCACGGGACTCAAAACCTCCTTCTTTGATCTCTGCTCTCATTTCCCGACCGCTGTCCTTTGTTTCTTTGTTTCCTATTTACATATTTTATTTTCTCGGGACAATGCATAGATAAGTGCCCTGTTTGATTACAAGTATGGCATCACACATGTCTATTACATTGTTCAGCTCTAGTGAATTTACTATTAAAAATTTATTGTTGATTGTTCCAGCAATGCTCATATTGTTTAGTAAGGTTAAGCACATCACCATTAGATATAACAAAGTAGCATTCCAAGTACTCTTGTAAAGAAACATGCAACTGTGATATTATACACTTCACAGTTTCTCTTTCTGTAGCTTCAGGGTTTCGTAATTCATAAATTTTCACAGTTTTCCAAAGAAATGAATCAACTGACTTTGTTGCATTAGCGTGGTACTTCCTACTAAAGAGTTCCTTAGCCAATTTGATATTATCTAACACTGCTGGGTACATATTAGTCAATGTTTCTTTAAATTCCCCTCAGTGTTCAAAAGCCATTTCTGATCTGAAAGCATTCCACCATTCTAGTGACCCTTCCCTCACATTTATTTTCAGGTACTTGATACATATAAAAATGTCTTTCTAAACTTTAAAAACTTTAAAATCTGACTTACTGTCGAACTTCTCAATAGGCATTGGTGGTTGGCTGACTGCTGTGACATGAATCAATGAATTTTCCACAGGTCTGTGGATAGAATGGACTCTCGATATTTGTGGTTGAGGGGAAGTAGACTTAGGTTCTCTTGCTAGTAGATCAGTCACCACGAGTGTTAGCACATCCACCTGTTCTGTCAATATTGACGCAGACTCTCTAACTTCCATAGTAACAGTTATTTTCAAACGCTAGTTAACTTATATTTAACTGAACTAAGAATATTGCAGCATTAGTCACTCGATACCAAAGTGAGTAAAAAAAATAATCAAAAGTCACAATTCAACTTTTATGAAAAAGGTTCCTGTAACAGTTTGAATTGAACATGCCACTATAATCAGAGTTCAACAACATAAAACATAAATTTATTTAGGTTAACAATACGGTGTTACTATAGCGTGAGGTCTACCGCTGCATTATCCATCCCTCATGGAAATCACACATTTCCATACATTTATTTTAGCGATAAACACTTAATTTG